TTAGGGTTTAGGGTTCCATCAGAGGGTACTATCATCGGATTCCCTGAAAAAGGGTGCAATCAGAAGGTTCCCTGGTAAGTGTACTATCATAGGGTTCCCTTTTAAGGGTTCTATGATAAGGCTTCCTTTTAAGCGTACTATAATAGGGTATTGTTATCGGGTTCCCGTTAATGGAACTACGAGGGTTCCATACACGCTCCTTGAACAGATCTGCAGGGTCCCGGTAAAGGAACTAGAGGGGTTCCTATAAGGGATCGATCAGGACACCACAGAATTTTAAGGTTTAGGGTTGAGAGGGTTTAGGGCTTCAGGTTTGTGGCTTAGGGTTTACGGGTTTGCGGGGGTTTAGTGGGCTTGGGGGGTTTGAAAAGTCTACTTTCAAATTTGAAGGAAGCTTAGATATTTGAACTTAAGTATGAGAGTTAGGATTCCTCATTCTGCAGAGTTTTACATGACAAGGGTCTAATAACCCTAGACCCTAAACTCTAAAACCCTAAACCCTAAACCCTAAAACCCTAAAACCCTAAAACCCTAAACTCTAAAACCCTAAACCCAAAACCCTAGGCCCTAAACCCGGGGTCCTGCCAGGAAGCATCCTCCTACTCGAGATTGACGAGGGATACCATAAGGCCGGGTTCAGGGTTGGGTTTAAGGGCTTAGGGTTTAAGGTTTGAGGTTAAGAGTTTAGGGTTTAGGGTTCAAGCTTACTATTTAGGCTTTGGGGTTTAGGGTTTGGGGTTTCACGGATAGCAAAATGAAGCTTTTTCATTTTACCTTAATCCGTAAACCCTAAACTCAAACCCCTAAGATGTAAGGTTCACCCTAAGCCCTCAACTCCCGAACCCTAAACCCTAAACCCTAAACCCTAAACCCTAAAACCCTAAACCCTAAACCCTAAACCCTAAAACCCTAAACCCTAAACCCTAAACCCCTTTACAGATAAACTGGGCTAAAGCCCAGGTTTGCGGATTCAGGCCCCGGCACCAATCTCGGAGAAGGCTTCGGCCTAGGACCGAACGGAGAATCCAAACGCGGGGAGTGGGGTTTAGGGTCTAGGGTTTAGGGTTTAGGGTTTAGGGTTTAGGGTTTAGGGTTTAGGGTTGGGGTTGAGGGTTTCGGGGTCTGGGTTCCTTTAATTTAAGAGAACTATAAGACTATAAGGGTCTTTATAAGGGATCTACAAGGAAGGGTACTATAGGAATATAGGGTTTAAGGTTCTGGGCTTAACCCTAAACCCTAAACCCTAAACCGTGGTGAGGAGCTTGGGTGGTGAGGTTGGTGAGCGTGGTGGGGGTGGTGGGGGTCCTGTTTGCAGCAGCTCTCTGGTATCACAGCGGCCTTCGTCACGGTGAGCCCTTGGTTTAGGGTTTAGGGTTTAGGGTTTAGGTTTTAGGGTTTAGGGTTTAGGGTCCTTATTCGGAGCAAGGCACACCGTGTCTTCCGTCCCACTTGCCATCACCGGTGAAGTTGACAGCCGTTAGCTTTTGCAGGAACCGTCACCTAAACCCTCGTGTAGGGTCCTAGTGTCTTGACGTAGCCCCGATACGCACATCCGTTGCCATCATCATACCGATCGTAGCACTGATACT